ATTGAATATAGTTTTTCCATTTCATGATAGCTAAGAATTTTAGCCCAAGAAGGCGCAACGAGTCACTCTCCTGGAGGTCAGCATCGGTCATACTGATGGAAGGAGGAAAGGTGTCTCTCAAATGATTAACAACAGACTGTAGATCATTTTTGACATTTGCTGCCAATTTGACCTTGTTGAACTGTTCAGACTTAATATTGAGACAGGAGTAAATGGTTCTGCCATCAGCATAGAAACCAATTTGAGAGCTGTTGCCATCAGGAAGATTGTTAATGAAAATTAAAAACAATGTAAGGCCAAGGATAGAGCCCTTGGGAATACCGGCATTAGCACAAAAGGATCTAGATGAGTAGCTATTCAGGATAACTTTCATTTCCTAATTTGATAATTTGAATCGGTTCAAAAATTTATCAGGAGACATCATAACTTTCCAAGCAAGATAGAGCAAGAGAAGTGTAGAGTTGGGGACTGATAGAATTCTCAAGAAAATAAATTAATTTAAATTTAAAATTCTCTGCATCTCTTTTCCTATGTGTGCATGTGTAGGCACATTGACATAAACATCACTTTAGTCCAATGAAGTTTTAAAGGACAGAACACGTCACACAAAAACTTTTTCCATTTTGTCATTGATTTTCCTAAAATTCTCACTGACCAAACAAAAGAGCTGGCCCATTAGTCTGTTATGAAAGAAGACAAAACTAACAGCAAAGATATCATAAGTTTTGCTTTACCTATGCCTCCAGACTTTACTCTGTGAATCTGTGAAATCGGTTTTACATTTTCATTTCTTCTATTTCCTTTTGAACATACAATAGGACTTTCTAAGTTTTTGTCTGTAACAATGCAAACTGGAATCAAAACACAATGTTGAGTGATTTGTCCAGTCAGTGAAGGAATGCAAGAGGACCCTGGATATATGCTTATGCTTTGACAGATTACTTAGTTACATTTACAAGCTTATTTTTACTAGTAATACCAGTTATTGGTACTTTGAGTATATTATAGATTTTTTGAGCACACAACTAATAGGAAGGATATTGCTCAATTTTCACCTCTTACCTAAATATTTGGCAATAAATACCACTAATCAAGTACCAAAAACTGAAAATCAATATTTTTATGGTATCAGTCACATGCTATACTATACAACTATAATTTAAAGAATGATGAAAGCACAAAGCAAAAATGAATATCTGTGAAATTTTAAGTAATGAAACAAACAGAGCACAATTGGTATAAAGGTATTGGATGGCATATAGGAACCCTCAACCATTTACATTTAATATTACAGTATTATGAAGTTAGACTGTTAAAACTTCTGGAAGACATTATGAGGAAGAATGGCTTGGAAAACTCAATACTCACAGGATGTATCAATGGAAGAAAAAGTAATAATGAAACATCAAACAATTTATCTAAGGAATTTGTGTAAATGGCTGGCAGAGTTGGGATAAGGAGAGATATTAAAGAGTTCCACATTGCTTAGAGTTACAAAAAACAGGAAGCTCATAAATGATGATAATTATGAGGATGGATTAGGTGCAAGTACTGGTTGTCTACAGCATTAGCTTTTCACATGACTCAACTTTATCTAGAAGAATTTGGTAGAGATTTTTTAACTATATTTTTGGAAAGATACAGTGGATGTCTTATCACATTAAAGCCGCCAAATTCAAATTTCAATTATTCATGTTTATAATGCAGGTATTTATGTAACAAACATGCGAGCCTTTCCAAAAGTTCCAGTGTCATTCCAGTATTAACTGCAGACATCAGGGAATTCAGTGATTCTTATTTTAGATACTTTCCAGATGTATCATCTGTGCCCACATGAATCCATTTGCCATTCTTTTTCAGGACAGAGAACTAGATTCTGATAAACAAGAACACTATCTAAGCTTAATACAGTCTGTCAGGAAAAAAATCAGTAAGATACTAATTGAGGGTGGAACTCACTTTAATGACTGTGCCAGTGTCACTAACTACTATGTGGCTGATGTTGGTATTTGGGCAATCTATAGTCATCACTTTACAGTCAGCTACAATGGCAGCCTTCAAGTCAATACCCCAAAGTCACACCTTGTTGATTTCTCATTGAAAATCAAAAGCCATCTTTTCACCATGCAGGTTTGATTGTCATAATAAATGACACATATGGGGTCTGTATCAGCAAATTTTTATTGTTTCCAACAGGGATTTTCTGACCACTTGTCAGCAACTGAAAGGGCAAAGATGAGTGAGAGAACTTTAGGTGATGAACTTTAGTATTTTTTAGGACATCTGCTTGCTACCAAGATAAAAAAAGCAACTAAAGAAATTTGAAAGGAGACACTCCTTTTTTTTACATAAAAATCCTGCCGTCTTGCTTGTACCTGATTATTCAATTCAAAGACAAATGAAAAACTTTGCTACATGCTGTTTTTTTCTTCTCAGGACTTTTGACCATCTACTAGTCTTGTCAAATATATTGTATTTCAGAAATACAATATTACTTCCAGTAACCTGTGTGGTTGTTTATAAGGTGATTTTATTTTATTTTTATCCATAAATGCATGGTTCTTAGCAAATAGAACAGCCCATCATGCAAATTACAAATTGGAGATACTAAAATCAATCACAACAAAATCAAACAAGGGCAACAATTTAAACATCTTGGAAGTGTTTTGTTTTAACAGGGCACAGAAAGTGCAACACTGAAATCTGAAGGCACATTGGAATAGCCAAAGTAAACTTACAAAAGCTAAACAAAGTAGTGAGAAACAGAAAAATTTGTTAGAAACAAAGAAAAGAGTACTGAACTGTTACATAATATCAGTCCTTCTATATGGCAGTGAATGCTGGATAATCTCCACAAAGATGGAGAAGAGACTTGAATTAACACATATCTGGTTTTACAGAAGGATACTGAGAATATCATGAATTGAACATATGAGCAACAACAAGGTTTTAGAGAAAATAGCTAGAAAGGACAGGAAATGGTGAAGAGTCAGGATCATCTACATCCTGAGGGAGAAACAGCAAATTACACTACTTTATTGTACACCCACAGTTTTACACTAAAGATAACAGGAGTAAACTAATGAGTCTTTCATATCTAATATTACATTTTATTTTATTTTGCTATTTTGTCAAACACTCTCAGCTAGTCTGTGGATCCTAAAGATGTTGTCTGGAATGTGGGACTTTAAATTCATCTCTGTATCTGGGTAACTGTCTAAAACTTCTCTGGAGTTCTTGTTTATATAACTTCATGCCTTACAAATATTTCCCACATGATGCAGGTTTGAGATGACTTACTTCTCCATTTGTCATCCGAGAGTAACCACAGGTCAACCCTGCACCTGACTTCCTTGGCATTTTGAAATTTTTATCCTTTAAATAATGAGACATCCAAATATCAAAGTGATTCATGTATCCAAATGTTTTCAAATGCCTTAGAATGCTCAGCAGGATTTGAAGTAATGCACTAAAAATAAGGCACTACTCAACTTTGCTTGATCAACAACACACACACACACACAGACATATATATTAAAAACTATGTTATATGAATAGTAGAATTATATAACAAATACATATCCCAAATATTTACACTATCTTAGATATTATTATGCAAATTTTCAGGTTATACTTATATTTATGAGCTATATATATATATATATATATATATATATATATATATGGGGGGGGGCATGTCACAGAGTGGTTAGAATGTTTGATTTCTAGCTATGAGACCAATGTTCAAATCTCACCATGGTCAATTTGTTTAATATTATTAGTTTTTGAATTTCTATGAAATTAAAAACACCATTATTGATGTTTATTTTCTTGATTGAAAGCAATAGTTTCTAGTTTAAAGGTCATAATACAAATTTCAATGTGCAAGATGTAAATATACTGTGTTTTCAAATTGGAGATTGCAAAACTATAATAGCACCTATGACTGTTGAAACTTTTTATTTGAATGGTATGAATAGGCTTTTAATCATCCAATGGCAATGTTTAACCTTCATGCCTGCAAAAAACAATGTGGCCAATGGACAGTTATTCCCTTGACACCACTATTACTGTATAGATTTTTATTTTATTTCATTATAAAATGGAAAATAATAACTCTATAAAAATAAATAATAAATATTGCATTGTGTTTGGTTCATTTATTTTTATAATCTTTTAAATAAATATTGCTGAGGGTATACAGAGTAATAGTGGTGTCAAAGGAATAACCGTCTTCTTGCCACACCATTTTTTTTGTGGTAACAAAGGTTAAACATTGCCCATCCAACAATAAAGTTATTGTCATCTTTAAAGAACGTAAGTCAGTATCAATTTGTGGAAAGAAATACTCTTTTCTGAGTTGTAAATAATGGCCTCACTTATTAAGTATTAAGAATCAAACTTTAAGAGGAGGAAAATATTTTGCCTCTTGCCATTTTGATATCTTAATTGGAAATACAAGACATGTTCTTGATTTGTACATAAAAAGAAACTGGGACATTCAAGTCATGATCAAGGAGGTCTTGGCAAAAGTTACATTTTCCTCTTGGCTGGAATCACAAGAACAGAACTGGACAAGTGCCTCATTGAATCTGTTTCATTCAATTTGGAGAGTCTATCTAACATGGCTTCATTTTACAGTCTGAACATCATTCCTAGATTCCCTAGAGGTCAATATGTCCTACCTTCTTTTAAATATCTGTCTTTTCGATTGAGTGATTGATTTGTTTCTTATGTCTTATCAACCCTTTGCATGTTATTTAAAGCCAGAAAATATTTTCAGAATGTAAGAACTTTGTTTTATTTTTTGGAGATAATAATGGTTTAGTGATACAAGTCTTGCTAATTAATCCATAGCTAGGAGGAGAAGATGGAGATTCACACCTTTCCCAAGGAGATTTGTACATAAGTGAATATAACAAACCCAACAGGAAATGAAACTTGGCTCTCCAGTTAACAATTCCAAGCCATTATCCATTCCCTGCACACACATCCAAGCTTATAGCACCTGGTATTCTCAAGCAGTCACACATCTAGGTACTGACCAGGCTTAATATTGCTTAACTTTGGTGATGGTATGGGAATCAGTGTTTCAACATGATGTGGCTGTAAGCCTTGTCTTTCCAAGAAACATTGTACAAAAAACAATTAATAATAACATATTTTTAGACTTTTTTTAATAAAGTGATCTTAAGAATTATTTCATGTTAATCTGATTATTTCTATATGACTGGCAATGAATATAAATAAATTGACAACCATATAGTCAGTGGTAAAATTCATATACACAGTCTAACTATCAATCAAACCTGTTTCTGTTAAGTTGTAGCTAAATATAATATTTTTAATAATCTTTGTTAATATTCAAAATTATTTGGCGGAATCATAAATAATTTCCATTTTTGTTTTTTAACCTTATTCTTCAAAAAATAAAGTAAAATTATATTTTTATTCAATCATATATTCACCATTATTTGCAATGATTTCTTGTCACTTATCAGGTTTCAATAGAAAGATCTCTAACAAAAGAAGAGCCACTTGCATCCAATTTGACATCTTGGATTTTTAACCTTCTATTTCAGAGGAACTATTAATTAACAGCCCTAATTTCGCTAAAGGATATACCGAAAAAACGGATAATGATCTGGACATTATTTTAGCGTCAAGAAGATCAATACTTACATACAATGATGCTACTTGGGTGAAGAAGAATAATGAAAGTTTCGATGTACCTATGGGAGCCTTTGATTCTGCCCAAATTGCAGATTTAGTGGGCATATATATTCTAGACACCTTGAGTAGAGTAGTTAGCCTTAACCCAGTTGGAATTTATAGAGATGATGGCCTAATCACTGTCCCAAATAGCAATGGTCCCTTGACTTCCAGCTTACATAAGAAGATAATTAGGGCCTTCAAATAACTAGGCCTTAAAATTGAAATATCATCCAACCTGAAAATAGTCAACTTTTTGGATATTACACTCAACCTATCGAATGATACCTTTAAGCCCTTCCATAAAGTTGATCAAACACCCCTATACATCAACATTCACTCTAACCACCCTAGATCTGTGATAGATCACATCCCCAAAACTATGAATACGAGAATAAATAGGCTATCTTCTAGCCAAAAAATCTTTAACGATAATAAATTTATATACAATCAGGCCCTCAAAAATAGTGGTTTTAGACAAGAATTAAACTTTAACAGAGAACCTGTAAATCAGAATAATAATAGAACTAAAAACAGAAAGAGGAAGGTAATATGGTTTAACCCACCATATTGCAGGCTCTCTAACATTGATATAGGAAGTTTCTTTCTGAGATTAATTGATAAACACTTTCATAATAAACATCCACTATGTAAAATTTTCAATAGGAAGACACTGAAAATTAGTTACTCATGTGTTAGAAATATGGAGAAGATCATATCTTCCCATAATTGTAGAATACTTAGAAACTACCATAGTAATGAAACTCAATCTAGTAACCCTACTTGCAATTGTAGGAATAAAGACCAATCGGGGGTAAATGTATGTATGAAAATGTAGTATATGAGGCAACAATTTTCCCCGAGGAAAATATAAACCAGAAAAAAGAATTATAGGTATATGATTGGAAGCAGTGTCTATACAACCATAGACGCTCTTTTAGATATAGATACCTCAGAAATCAAACTTCCTTATCCAAACACTACTGGAATCTAGTGGATAAGGGACTAACCCCACTTTTCGAATGGAGATACTTATCAAGAGCTAGAACCCCTAATAACTTCCGCAGGTGTGATCTGTGCAAGGCGGAAAAACTTTTTATTATTAAAGATAAGAATCAAGATGAGTTGCTAAATCTTCGTAGTGAGATATTTTTCTAAATGTAGACATAAACGATTCAAAACATAAACACTGTTTTATAACATGTTGTCACTCATGTCAGTTCCATCTTGGTTCAATAACATTGGGCATGACATTTTAATGAAATGACTATGATGTTTATCTATTATGTTTATCTATATATATCATTGTGTATGTTTATATGATGTGCTATGTATTAAAATTTTTTTTTTGAGACAAAATTTTTTAAATTTTACATTTTGATTTATATATAGATATGTATATGTGCGTACATGTGTGTGTATGTCTGTATGTGTATATATGTAGGAGTGTATATATATATGTATATGTATGTATGTATATATATATATATATGTATATGTATATATGTATATATATGTATGCATACATGGATGTATGTATATGTAGGTAGATGTGTATGTAGATGTGTTTATATGTGTGTGCATGTTTTGGTATGTATGTATTCATATATATCTGTATATGGGTGTATATGTATGTATGTATGTATAGTTAGACAGATAGATAAAGGGATACATTGTTTATTTATTTAGATGGGTGTATGTAATTGTATGGAGATGTAAGGTTTATGCATATATGTTTATGTGCACATATGTGTATGTCTGTATGTATATATGTGTGTAAATGTATAT